ATTTCTGTTTATCTGGCTAGGATTTGGGCTTTGTTTACTGTTTATTGTAGTACTAGGTTTCAGAAGCTACATTTTTTTTTTATCTTCTTGTTTTTGTCTTTCCTGTGGTCTTTGGGTGATATAAACACTTTTTCTTGAATAAGACTTGAAATGCTTTCCACTGTAATACCATGGCATTATAAGTAACTCTGTAAATATATTGGTAATATATACATATATGAGGTTAAGCGTCCTATAAGTCTGTGATTTGCTGTCAGTTTTTTTAGAGAGCCTCTATTTTTTGTCTGAGACCTTCAGAAATGCTTCTCTTTCTCAGTTTACACTGAGAAGGCTAGAGGGTGTTTGAATTTGGTATTTCCCTTCCCCCGGGTCATTGAGGCTCTGGTAAAAATGAAACTTTATACTCTTGAGGCAGGGTTTAGTTCAAAATACGTTGTACTTCAGATGCTCTTGTACTTTGTTTTGGTTTACTTCTAAGTGGTGACTTTTCTCCTTCCCTTTGCCAGAAGCACCAGATTTTTCTCCAGTCTTAACCCTGAGAACCTATTAGGTTTCCTGAACGTAAAACTCATGAAAGTTTGGAAGCCCTACACCGCCACCTAAGAATTGGCCCCATTGGGGTTTTAACTGTGGAGCTTGCCCCACTGAACTTCTTAGGTCCCTCAGTTATAATTTAAGTTATCCTGGTAAAGGTTCCAGTAGCAGGCTTCCACTCCTGATAAGTTGTTATCCTCCATATGCACCTATCTTCCATTTTTGGAAGCTATAGTTTTCTCAGTGACCTCAACTTTCTGATGGTTCTAAGAAAAGTTGCAGATATTTTTGTTGTTGTTGATACAGGCATGACAACTGACAAGTTTCTTAGATGCCAAATAGAAACCAGAAGTTGTCTCATGTCTTTTTTGTTCCATTATCCCTGTTACTAACTTTTGTGTTTATAGAGTACCATTGAAATTTCCTTCTTATTTTATTTTATTAACTTTTTTGGTGATTATCTTGAGAACTACGATTAGAATTTCAAACTCATAACAAACTAGTTTGAATTAATTCCAGTTTAGTTATAATAGTATTCCAAAACTCTGCTCCTATGAAGGTTACTCCTCATATTCTTGTTCTTAATTACATTACTATATATTGTGTATCCAGTAACATAGATTTATAATTATCGTTTTATTCATTTTTCATTATTATAATATCAAAAAGATGAATGCAAAAATACTAACTTTTATATTCATCTACAGTTACCTTTTATATTTACCCATATGTACTCCTATGTGGTTACTTTTGCCAGTATTCTTTTTTTGTGTCTAGTATCAAGTTACTATTTATTCCGCATCAGCTGTTCATTTTTGGAAGACCTTAGATTCTCCTTCAGTTTTGAAAGCTTATTTTGCTAGATTCAGGATTCTTGATTGAAGTGTTTTTATTGCAGTTCTTTATATCATCCCCCTGCCTTCTATCTTGTGTGGTTTTTCATGAGAAATCAGTTGTTCATCTTATTGTGGACACCTAGTATGTGGCAAATTACTTCTTTCTTGCTGCTTTTAAGACTCTCTCTTTGTCTTTGATTTTTTAAAAAATGGTTGCCCGTTTATTATAAATGATATTAAAGAACATACAGCTATACAGCCAGAACGAAGAGATGCACAGGGCAAAACATGTGGCAAGAGGCCTGGAGCGGGCATGCTACCGCCCAGTACCTCTGCATGTTCAGCAACCTAGAAGCTCCTGTCTTTGATTTTTGAAAGTTTCATTATAATTTGTCTCAGTGTGGAATTCCTTGTATTTACCCTATGTAGATTTTATTTATCTTGTATATGTAGATTCATGTGTTTTATCAAATTTGGGAACTTTTGGCCATTATTTCTTCAAATACTCTTTTTGCCACTTTCTCACTTTTCTCTCCTTCTACAATACCCACCATGTATATGGTGGTACACTTGATGTTGTTACCCAGATGTCTTAGATTCTCTTCCCTTAATTTTTTTTTCTTCTTCTCTGACTGTATAATTTCAGTAAACTATCTTCAAGTTCACTGATTCTTTCTTTTGCTTGCTCAAATCTGTTGTTGAAAATCTTGATGAAGTCCTCATTACAGTTGCTACAATTTTCTGCTCCATAATTTTTATTAGATTTTGTCCTGTAACTTATTTTGCTTTATTGATATTCTCTATTTGTGAAGGTATCATTTGGTTCTTCATTCATGATTTTCTTTAGCTCTTTGAGCATATTTAAGAGAGCTGATTTAGAGTTTTTGTGTAGCAAGTCCAATGTCTGTTTCCTCAGGGACGATTTCTATTATTTTTTGTTCTCTGCGAATGGACCATACCTTCTTGTTTCTTTACAAACCTACTTTTTTTTGAAAACTTTACATTTTAAACTATTTTAATGGATACTTTTGAAATCAGATACTTCTCCCTCTTCAGTGTGTATGGTTGTTGCTTGTGTGGATTGTAGTTGTTTGTTTCATAATTTTCTACATCTTTTGTCATGTTCTCTAGAGTCAGTCTTCCATTTACTTCAACTTTTGTTCATTTTTAACCTTTGTATTCTCTTCAACCTTTGTAGTCAGATACTGACTTGACAGAGATTTTCTTAAATGCAATGTTGAAGTCGTCTTTGTTGATTTAGCATTCTCTTGGTTGTTGTAAAACATTTGATCATTTTCTGGAGTTCTGACAAAAGTTCATTCTGACTATTTTTGTTCATTGTTTTCAATGTTTCTATGGAAAGATGCGGCCAGGAATTTTCTTCTCTACTATTTTTGCTGGCATCATTCTTATCTTCTTTAATTTTTAATCTCATAGAAAACTTATCTTACAAAAAGCTAGGTGATTTTATACAGGATGAGGTTAGTCAGCTAGCCTAAATAAAGAGGGGATATGCTACAAGCTCAGGAGAAGATAGCTGATGCAGAGAACATGAGTGTCGTGTGGTTTGCTTGATGTAGTGGGGATGGATAGCCTGTTGCCTGGTAACACCATTAATATTGGATTTGGACTGAAAGAGTCTCTTAGATATTTGTTACTCTAGCAATCTTTTATGTATACTGATTCTGAAAAGATAGATAAGAAAAGACTTCATATATCTTTTGATTCTATGTTGTGGTTTCTGACAGTTTTGCATTAGTTTCATGAATGGTAACCTTAATCAACATTTTAAATTGCCTTAAATTTTTATAAGGGTTCAAAAATAAGAAAATTTTACATCATCATGATAATTCAGTCTCATAATCATGTTATGATGTATTGGTAGACTCTGATCTGCCACCTTCTGAATTACTTTATGGACAGTTCTTTTAAGAGCTGTATCTTAGGTGAATAATATTTAAAAGACCTGGCTACAGTTTGCTAGTGCTTTTCATAACTCTATGTATATTTCTGATTCATAAATTTAGAGATTTAACTTTTCTTTGGCCTCATTTTAAAAGGACCTAAGGTAAAAATAGAATATAAATAAAACTTTTTCTCCCCCAAGTCTGTGAACCTAATTGGAGCTCTGTCTCAAATTAAGCTGATCTGATTTTATAAAATCATAGGATGGATTGTGTTGTCTGTAATATTTTATAGTGCCTTGTAATATCATGCAGATGGCAAGAGTGAAGTTTCACATCGTGTATGGGTTTGGGAAGGTATGAAAGAAATATGTTGAAACAACAAAACAAAGATTATCTGGTATTCTGAGAATATACTCTGCATATTTTCATACTTTTATGATAAATTTTATGCTCTTCATATCAGCAGTTGTCCGTCAGACATATTTTACATAACATACTAGGTAAATGTTGGTAATGAAGAGTAAAGGTCCCTCTTCAAGATTATGTTATAGTAAAAAGAAAGTATTCATGTAATAATAGTACAACTTATATAAATACTGTAGAAGAGTTACCAAGTGTTTTATGGGTTCTAAGGAAGTGATGATGTTTTTAAGGAGAAGAATAATTAAGGATTCCTGTGAAAAATTATTGGTGTTTTGAAAGAATTCTATGGAAAATGAACAACTGAAAGTCATATACACAGACACCATAGAGCATATTTAGAATGAATAGAAAATAGCCTACAAATAGAGTTATGGGAAAAACAAAGTTGTCAAGATTGGTAGTAGATAAATTGTAGAGATTTTGGTTGCTTGGGCGAAGTATTTGTTTTTAAACATTTCCTCATAACTGGAAAGGTTGACAAAAATCACATTATTCAGATCCTTGTTTTACAAATGAGAGAGTAGAAGCCTCAAATGTTATTTTACATTCTACCTATGTTTATTAGTTGACTTCCTATACAACTCAGGCTATAAATCAGATTTCTTTCCATGCATTTTTTAAGTCTTGCAGTATAATAACGTTTCTCAGATGATCTTGCAGAGACAATACTCATTTCTACATTGCTAAATTCAATGGGATTTTGTTGATTTTGTTGACTTATGTATCCTAAGCACCTTGAGTAATTTCTGACACATAGTAGGCTCTTGGCAATTATTTATTAAATAAATTAATATATACTTGAATATAAATATTCATCATTTTAGTTACCATGGCTGCTACTGTAGTCCAACCTCGTTCCCTTTCCAGTATTGTGATCATAGTTTATCCTACCTCTGTCATTTTGCAGCTAGAGATTAAGAATTGAATTAAATGACACACAGTATATTATATAGAGTTAAATACAGTATTGAATGAATGAACATAAATGTATACATACGTATACCTAATTATGTTATTAAAATTGAAATAAATCTGTTGTTCAGATTTTACAAAATCAACAGCCAAACATTCTCAAGTAAGTTGATTAATTCTTAAGTTCACTGAATAAATAAGGTTTTCATGATTTATAGAAAGCAAATTTTTGGCTTAGGTTTTTTGCTAAAAAGAGTCATTTAGCACCAGGAGAATTGCTTACTGTTTTAATGGAAGAAAAATATTAAAGTATCATTTCATTTTTCAAAAGCCAGTTTAAATATTGTGACAGAATACATTAGACTCATGATAAAATATATTTCCTCAGTTTCATCTCTAGACACTGGAAAAGGACCCAAGCCATGTACAGACCATAACTGTGAATCTTCCAGACGACTAGCTAAGGTATGTTATGTGAGGCTGGTAAAAAAAAAAAAAAGTTATATGAACATGCTCCACGTGTAAGTAAGCAAATACATTGAATCCCCACAGTTAAGGATTTCAGCAATAAAAGTAAAACTTTACCCACTAATAAAATATATCAATAGAATTTATCTTTATAAAATGCTTTCAAATTTAGCCTTTTGTAATTGCTTATATGAAGAAAATGGTTTTTCTATTTGTTTGGCCTTATGCTATTGGTAACTAATTTATAATTATTATTCAGATAGAATACTGTCCATGTTACCATAGTCCATCATAAACAACAAGCAAATTTAGACTATAATCTCTAAAATCTATTTTCATATTGCTTTGCTCTATACCCAGCATCCTGTATCTATGCTTAGGATTAAAATTATGCTGTATCTTCTAGAAGCAATTTAAATTACTTGTTTTTACATTATACTTAACATATTGTTCATGTTCAGTAAATTTATGACAATATTTTCCTATGCCTAATTATAATTTACTAACCATAAATACTTTTTTTAAAGTAGTATTTTAAAATGTTTGGAATATATAATTATTTACAGTATAATGGTTATAAAGTTTTTCTACTAAAGGTATAAGTATTGCATACAGAGATCAATATTCATTATTTTTGCCTAGTGAAATTGACAAGGGGATTATTTCTTAATTTGTACTTAGTAAGCCTCCTGAAATATAGTTTAAGTCAGGCATCCCAACTCCTTGGCCACAGACTGGTACTAATCTGTGGCCTGCTAAGAACTAGGCCATGCAGCAGGGAGTGAGTGGCAGGCAAGCATGAAGCTTCATCTGGGTTCACAGTCCCCCATCCCCATCACTTGCATTACTGCCTGAGATCTGCCTCCTCCTGTCAGATCAGATCAAGGGCAGCATTAGATTCTTATAAGAGTGTGAATCCTATTGTGAATGGTGCATATGAGGGATCTAGATCGTGTACTCCTTATGAGAATCTAATGCCTGATGACCCGTCACTATCTCCTGTCAACCCCAGATGGGACCTTCTAGTTGCAGGAAAGCATGCTCAGAGCTTTCACTGATTCTACATTATGGTGAGTTGTATAATTATTTCATCATTTATTAAAATGTAATAATAATAGAAGTAAAGTACACAATAAATGTAATGTGCTTGAGTCATCCTGAAACTATCCCCCACTCCCTGGTCTGTGGAAAAATTGTCTTTTCACAAAACCGGTCCCTGCAGGTTGGGAACTGCTGGTCTGAGTCATCAATTCGCATATTATCTTATATTTCCATTTTAAAAATTTTCTTAAGCATTACCTGTCTTCCATGGGAAAGGTTTTCTTTTTTTTAACTCTTGAAATAAGACTTAGGATTTGAGGCACCATGAAGAGAGCAGTTTTTAATCTGTGAGTACTGTGTTAAACATTAGTCAGTTATTACCTAACACATCTTCTACCCTCTACCAATCTTAAGCAGTCACAGACCCTGAACTAAGATAATTTATTTGGAAATGGGGTTGGAATGTGTGTTCAAGCATAGGGATTAGGAGTAGGGGAAGGAATCTGACCCATTTTGTTCTTTTCCTTGAAGATGGGCTCAAGGTGGTATCTCTATGACCTTTCTTATATAATTTTTATTTATTCTTGTTTTTTCTTTTACATTCAGGAGGTACACGTACAGGTTTGTTACCTGGGTAAATTCCACATCTCTGGGGTTTGGTGTTCAAATGATTTTGCATCCAGATAGTGAGCATAGTACCTGATAGGTTGTTTTTCCACCTTCCACCCTCAAGTAAGCTCTGGTGTCTCCTGTTCCTCCCTTTGTGTCCATATGTGCTCAATGTTTAGCTCCCACTTGTAAGTGAAAACATGTGGTATTTGGTTTTCTGTTTCTGCATTAATTTGTAGAGGACAATGGCCTTCAGCTGCATTCATGTTGCTGCAAAGGACAAGATTTAATTCTTTTTTATGGTTACATAGTATTCCATGGCGTATAGGTACCACATTTTCTTTATGCTGTCTACCATTGGTGGGCATCTAGGTTGATTCAATGTCTTTGCTATTATAAATAGTGCTGCAGTGAACATACGCATGCATGTGTCTTTATGGTAGAATGATTTATATTCCTTTGGGTATATGCCCAGTATTGGGATTGTTGGGTCAAATGGTAATTCTGTTTTAATTTCTTCATAAAATTTCCCAACTGTTTTCCACAGTGGCTAAACTAATTTACATTCCCATGAGCAGTATATAAGCATTCCCTTTTCTCTACAACCTCACCAACATTGGTTATTTTCTTACTTTTTAATAATAGCCATTCTGACTGGTGTAAGATGCTATCTTATTGTGGTTTTGATTTTTTTTCCTCTGATGATTAGTGATGTCCAATATTTTTTCATATGCTTGCTGTCTGCCTGTATGTCTTCTTTTGAGAAGTGTCTGTTCATGTCTTTTGTCCTTTTGTTAGTAGGGTTGCTTGTATTTTGTTTGTTGATTTGTTTAAGTACCTTATAGATTCTGGATATTAGACCTTTGTTGGATACATAGTTTGCAAAATTTTTCTCCCATTCTGCAGGCTTTCTGTTTACTGTGTTGATAGTTTCTTTTGCTATATAGAAACTGCTTAGTTTAATTAGGTCCCACTTGTCTATTTTTGTTTTTGTTGCAATTGCTTTTGGAGACTTCATCACGAAATCTTTGCCAAGGCCTATGTTCAGAATGTCCTAAGCTTTCTGCTGGGATTTTTAATAGTTTAAATATTTAATCCATCATGAGTTGATTTTTATGTATGATGAAATGAAGGGATGCAGTTTCAGTCTTTCCTACTGAAAGGCCACTTTATCAATATACTTTATCTAGAAACACAAAATACGTTTTAAAGCTTCCAGATGATGACGCTTTGAGTTCAAGAGGCCTGTAGTTTCATTAAGTTCATTTGTTCCTTTGGACCAATATCTGATTATTTTAGGTTCCCCTCCAAATATCTGTTGTCTGACTTTTCTTGTCCCTTGGAAATTTTTTTTTAATGCAATATGTTTATCTTTCTTTCTCTTTCAGCATGGAAGTTTTTTATTTGGCTTGTAGCAGCAAAATAAAGAAAAGCTAGTGCTTTTCTGTCTTGATGGTAGTATAAGAGCTGTATATTGGCATATAGTAAAAAGAATTCAGAATTTGCAGGCAATGTTATTTTCACAAAAGCACCTTCGTATAAAAATCTGAAAAATTATTTGATGTATTTGTGTCATTGTTGGTCTCATTTGCCTTTCAACTTTAGGACCTTTTTATCTTGTATTGGCATCTTATGTATTATTAAATACAATCTTTTGATTTTAGGAAGATTTAAGTAACTGAAATTGTCCCCAAACTACAGTAAGGCCAAATTTACTTTGACGTATTTGTCCCAGTGATGTTACAGCTAGCTTCTAAAAGATTCTATCTAAATATGTTATGCTTCTTAAGTATACCATTTTCGTTCCACTCTTCTCCGTTTTGTCAGTCCTTCTGCCAGTGCCATACTTTCTTCATTACTTTATCTGTATAACGATTCTTTTGTCAGTGGTGTTTTTACCTTGATTTTTTGTTAGGATTGTTCTGGATAGTCTAGGTTCCTTTCCAGGAAAACTTAGGATCAGCTTTTATGTCATTTTCTCAAAAAGGCATGTTTGAGTTAGATTGGCGTTCCCTTGAAATTATCAATTTGGTGAGAAGTGCCATTTTAACAGTATTCAATATTCCAATACCTGAAAATTGTACATCTATTTAGGTTTAAAAAATTAACGTATATGATGATTTGGAGATGAATAACATATTGCCTCCTCCGTCAGAGAAGTTCATGGGAAAGTAGGAGAATCAACATATAGACAAGTTACTTTATGCAAAGTGGCAGTTACTGTAACAGAAATAGGTAAAAGATGATAGGATAATATATAATTGATTAATCTTTCTAGAAGTTGAAGAAGAAAAACAATGCTACTGCCAAATACAGCAGATGATATTTATTTACTCGTTCATCCATTTATTTTAGGCATGTTTTCAAGTCAAGATCATAGTGTCATTATACTCAAATAATTGTATAATTACTTGACTCAAATGTTCAGTTGAAAATCAGACCAAGTGGGTCTTGATAACAACCCAGAAAGTAATCCGAGTCTTTCATATTGGGGTCATCTCTGATATATTTATCACTTTTAAGAAAGATGACTAATGTTTCCTAACATTAAAAATAATGATTTTAATTGGATAAAGTTTATATTGGAAAATTCATAATCCATTATTTTTTTCATCTCTGCACAATATTATTAATAAAAAATTAGTCTTTGAAAGGAGAAATGAGATTGTCTGTTTTTCAAAATAGACTATTATTACCTAGAATTGGAAATAGTATAATAATAAATATAAGAAGATATTTGCTACTATGCTTTACACAGAATTTTTTGGAGATATATTTATATTTGTCTGTATAATGTTGAACTTCTGTACATTCCAAAAGAACTTCATTAAATGGTGTTCTCCTTCAAGAGCTATCCCATGGAAATTACTCCCTTCCGTAAGTCAGGAATATGATGCCTTTCTTCAAACATTGTTACATTAAGCGGGTTTTTATATTTGTCTTCTTCAACTTCACACATCAAGTGACATTATAACAACTATACTGTAAAATAATACAAATAACTATATTATAAAATAATAGGGCTTGGGTTGAAACAGTCTTCTATATAATAATTTTATATGTGCAGAATTAAATACTTTAATTTGAAAAAAAATGGCTTCTTTTTGCATTTTTCAGTGTAAAGGTCTTATATGTCATTTGGGTTAAATTTATTCCTAAGTGTTTTGTGGGGGTCTTGGTGCTATTTTAAATGGAATATTAAAAAATCCACTTTCTAGTTGTTTCAATTTCCAGTGGATATTTTCATATTTTCCTTGTTTCATGTCACCTTGCTAAATTCACTTGTTAATTATAGTAGTAGTTTTATAGATTACTGAGGATTTTCTATGTAATTTATCATGTTGTCT